ATTTTTTTTTTTAAATGTACTCAGATAATCTTTTTTTTCTTTAGGCCTTTTGCTTCTTTGCACGGCACTCAAGATACGGTTTCTTTCTTTTTTTATATTTGCTTCTTGCATTTTGTTTCCTACTAACTTTATTTTATTTTTTTAAGTCCTTTAGCTCTTTTNATTTCATTTTTTTAGGTCCTTTAGCTCTTTCGGCTTTGCAATTAAGGTATATATGTCCAGCACTAGGCCGTTTCTTATTTTTTATTTCATTCTTATATTTCGTTTCTTACATTTTGTATTTCACTCTTTTTAGATCTTTCGGTTTTTCTCTGCAACTACTAAGGTATGTTTTTATTTTTTTGTTTTCATTTATTTATTACATATAATTTCTGTTCCCTACTAACTTTATTTCTTCTTTTATTTTATGGGTTTGGTTTTTACTTGGTCCCCTGTTTATCTCATTTTCGTTCCTTTTCCATTTTTTGTTCTTTTTCGTCTCTTCATTTTTTTTGCTTTTTTATTTTTCCCTTCCTTTGTTTTTTCCGTTGTTCTTTATTTTCTCTGCGTTCTTTTCATTTTTTTTGTTCCACTTTGTCTCTTTCGTTCCTTTACACTACCCTTCATTCCTTTTGTTTTATTCCATTCCCGCTTCATCTTTTTTATTCCTTTACACTACCCTTTATTCTTTTTATTCCCCCTTTGCTCCATCTCGTCTCTCCTTCATTCTTTCATTTTTTTTCATTCCCACTTGATCTTTTTCGCCCCTTTCATTTTTTTCACTCCCCCCTTTGCTCCATTTCGTTCCTCCTTCAATCCCCCTTTGTTTCTTTCATTCCCATTCACCCTCATTTTTTTTCCTTTTTTTATTCACATATTCTCTTTTCTTTATCATTGTGACTCATTTTTTTTTGTTATTCCTATCAAAAAATCTAGTATTTTGGATAGTATGAGTTTGTTTTTTTTAATCAATGATTCATGTAATCTATTGAAAATTAATAAATTGCTATAAACTTTTAGTGTGAAAATATTTTAAGCATTGTTTATTATATATTTAAAAATTTAGCCAATCAAAAAATTTCAAAAAATTTGCAGAAGATTTATATGCAAATTACAAAGTGAGAAACATTAAAATTTACACCAATCAAATTTAATAAATTTAATAAATTAATTGTGAGTGAATCACCTAGGTGAAATCACCCTAAGTGATCTTCACTCAGAGAGAAAGTTAGCAACAGTCTATATTTTATATTATAAATTTATTTGTAAAATACAGTACAACATGAAATATATTATCTAATATAAAATTGTATGTAAAATTAATTCCTTTTGTTATAATTAGATTACTATAGATTTTTAAGCAATCAATATACTAAATTTCTGTTGATATAACGCTCCTAGTGATACAATCATAATAAGGTGGAAATGTGATTTTGACAATCACCTGGTTGATCTTTCTTCAAATTAAAATGTGATAATTATATTAATACTTTACTAAAAATGATACTTTTTGTAACATAAATTTGTAGTATTATATTTTTAAAACCATACAAAAACCCACAAAAATATTTTGTAATGTATTACAACCATGTTATCTAGGCTTATAATTTCATCTCAACATGCTCGTAATTATTTTTCTATGGGTTTGTAATGCATTTTGAAATAAATTTAAATTACTTAAGCAATAGTTTTATAATGATTTTGTATTATTTTTTTAATTAGTCTGAATAATCATACAAAATTTTGTAACGATTTTGTATAGTTTTTAATTAATATTTTATTAATTGTGCAATCTTTACATAATATTATTAACTTATTATTACATTATTACCAAATTTTTCACGTCCAAATACTCCAAGAAACTGAGTGGCTATATTTCCATTAATATATCTATATGTACTATACTTTCTCAATAGATACAAAGCCTGGCAGCCTAAAATAGAGTAAAATAAAATGTTAGTAAAATGTTTTGTTTAAGAATTAAAAAAAAGTAAGCATCTTACCAAGTTTTTATATGTCTGAGAAGTCAAAGTTGAAGAACCAATCATCTGAAAAAAGAAATATAATGAATATTAGCAATCATTCATTTGTTAAAAGAAAAAATCAAAGAAAAACTTGCAAAATTCGCGTCCAAAAATATATATCCATGAAAACTGATTGAAGAGCAAGTCATCTATAAAAGGAAAAAAAGTGAGTAACCATTTGTTAATGTTAAAGAAAAGAATTAAAAAAAATATCTTACCAAATAAAACTTGCGTCCAAAGAGCTGAAGACCATCTAAAAAATAACAAAAATGAAATCAATAGGTTAATATTACGTTAATATATAAAGTCTAAGAATATAAAAACATACCGTAATTTGCATGCCTAAAGACCCCGAAAAAGTCACCTAAAAAACTGAAAATAATTTAAAAATCATGATTCATAACCTTTCATTCATTAAATTAAAAATTAAAAAGAATTACCAAAGTCCACGTGTCAAAAAAAAAACTACTTTGTCTTTCCTTATCAAAATCCCACATTTCAAAAATTTGAAGTACCGTATCAGCCATCTAAAAGAATGAGTTACCTGGAAAAATAAAATTCCAAAGTTTGTTAATTTTTTATTTAATAAATTTCTTTTAAAAAAGCCCAAAACCTCACACATATTTTTGCTCACTTACTGATTTCCAAGTGTTACAAGGATAATAAATATAATATTTTGAAAATATTCCATTTAATACCATTAAAAAAATCCTTTGAGTAGCTTGAAATACTTCATGAATAATAAATGTTGCTTGTTTTGCCAACTATATTATATCTAAAGGCCGAAATGAAGATAAACCTATAAAAAAAAGAAAATTATTATATAAAACGAAAAAAAAAGAAAAAAAATTGATAAAAATAAAAAAAACTCACCTAAGAACACTATTTGTGAGATATTCAGTTTTCTTAATTTTGAATCATTAGGAACTTTGTTCATTTTCTTTAATTTTTATCAGTTATTCATACTCAAATACTCAATAGCTTGTTAACGTCAATGTGAAAAAAAAAATTAATAAAGGAGAAAGAGTGGGAAAGACATTAAACTTAAGCTTTTAAAAGAAAAGATTATCCATCATTGAACTACGCCTATCTGTTATACGTGACATTAAACAGGGTCTATTTTTTAAAAATTGTTATAACGCAAAATTAAAATTTAAACTATTTAAACTTTCTAATCATAAATAAACTATTTTTTTTTATTTTTTTCTTTTACTCAAAATTCTGCAATTACGTTTTTGATATACTTAACTATCACAAAATGACAAAACAACTAAAAAAAAAAATATTTTAATATTTAATTAATTATTAGCAATGCAGGTTTTTTAGTATAAATATGGGGAAAAAAGATGAAAATGTAAAATGATGCACTATGATACATAAAGGAAAAAAAAAGAAGAGAAAAAAAAAGGTAAAAAAAAATAATAATAATAAAAATGCTACAGAAATGCAAATAATGTGAGAGAGAAAAAAAAATATTTATTATACAAAAAATTTTATAAACTTACCGATTTAATGCTTAAAAATTTAAAAAATTTTACGAAGTTAGAGGTCATAAGCTATCCCATCAGCTGGCAAAGTGTATGAAGTTTCTTTTAATTCAAAAAAAAAAGCCTTACTAAAGTCATCTTTAGTGTAGGTCTAGTAATACATTGCCTTAATTGAGCGTGACTACGAAGTTTATGATTATCTCTTTTTTTTGTTATTTTTAACAATAAGGATGTGAAAAAAAAACAGATTTGTTTGTGCAGATCGATTAGAGTCAGGTGATTTTTTCACCAAAGTCTCAGTTTATATAATTGTATATGCATTTAAAGTATTGTAAATATATTTCAAGAAATTTATTTCTGAAATAATACATAACTATTGCAAATATATAAAATGTATTTCAATTTATTTATTTTGTAATATTTCTATTATTATCTGTAATCTATTCATAAACTATTTCGAAGTACATCACAAAAATAATACAATTATAATTTACCATTACAAAATAATGTTGTAATTATAGAAAACTAATATCAATTTATTTAGTTTGCAATATTTCTGTTGTTATATGTAACCTATTTGTAAACTATTTTGAAATACATTACAAAAATAATACAAATATACTTTACTATTACAAAATAATATAATAATTACATAAATACTTCTGAAACACTAGTACCAAAACATTAAAAATATATGCCAAAAAAAGTGTCATTTTTAGCAAAGTATATATTGTCTAATATAAATCTATATATATCAGAAAATTTTAAACAGATGTATAAAGTATTGAAAAATACTATGTGTTATTCAATTCCAAAAAATGTAAGGAAATGAACCCTTTATCAATCAACGCCACTTATAAAAATATTTAGAAATATGTAAAATAATATTCATTTAAGTATAAAGCTACACATAGTAAAATAACAACAGTTTAAAAATGTATATAACAATATATAAAAACATGCATATTGATATTAAAAATGCATATAGCAAATTAGTAATTATATTTTTTAGTTATTGTATAATCATTAATAATGTAGTATTAATTTATTAACATATATTTTATTGTATAAAATTTAATTTAAAATATTGTAAATTTATTTACAAAATACAATATCAATACAAATACATTATCTAATGTAAATTCCTCTTATTATAATTGGATTGTTGTAGATTTTAAGCAATCAATGTACTAAATTTCCGTTGATATAATACCCTTAGTGATATAATCATAATAAGGTGGAAATAGGGCCCCTGAATGCCACTGTGGCGCATATATGAAACCTCGTCCTTGACAGTTATAATAAGTGTACATAAAAATTTTAATAAAGAGTGTACATATATTTTAAAATTTATTATTAAATGTACTACATAAATTTATATATAATTTTTGCGTTCTAATAGAGTGTACAGACAAAGTTGAATCAAAAGCAAATACAATGTACGACAAAAGTTTATTGATAAATCACATGTACACTAAAGGTTATAGAAGGAAAAAAAACTATTTTAAAACTATTCATCGTTAGAATTAGCATTATTTTTTCTCATCCGCATTATTTTTTCTGCTTCTTTAATGGATTGTTCAAGTTCGCAGGACTTTCCAACAAAATGGAAATATGTCGCATATTGAAGATCTCCTAATTTTAGTGTTTTTCCTAACCAGTGAGAAGTACCATGATATTCTTCTAATACAGAACCCAAATGTGCAATGAAACGAAATGGATTAGACTCACATGTGAATTGTGTACGGTCTTTGCTTATAATCGGAATAAATTTACATGCTGAATCTGGCTTGAGATCATACAAGCGTGCATGAATTTTTCCTTCGTTTAAACCAGATAATAAATCTACACGAACATAGCTTGATCCATTTTTCTTAAATTTGTAAAAAATCCATAAATTTTGAAGAATAATAAAAAAATTTAGTAAAAATAATAAAAATTTAAAATAATTTACCTCAAATACTGCAATAATTTCAGCAATGACAATAGAATGACTATTTTCGCAATAATAATAAAAATCTCCTCTTTTGAATTTAGATGATTGTGGATTTATTTTTGTGGAATCAAAGACCTTTTTGCATGCAGTTTTCCATCGTGTAATTCGTCCTTTTGTTCTTGCTTGATGTTCAGTATTACTTAATCTTTTCTGATGAATTGCAGCCATAATATTCATTGTGCCTAGTTCAGTGACTACTGTGAGATTATTTTTATTGAGTGTAGCTTTATTTCCAACTTTTTTCTTTTCCTTTTGAGTAAAGTAATCATATTTTTCTAAAGTATCAAATAATTTATTAAAACATTGAAAATAAAGAATAATAAAAAATTAAATTCAAATTACCTCGATAATATGACATTGCTTGCATTATTGCTAATGGACTCAATTCATGAGTTTTTCCAAATGCCTTATTTATCTTTTCAAAAAAATTATCCTCAAAATCCAGTTCCAAAGTTGATTGAGTATTTTCATTATCCATTTCATCTAAATCATTATTAGGAACGTCAAGATGTTCAGGAAATTTGGATCTATTCAATATGCGTTGTTGATGTCGTGTGAGCAATTTGCCAATATCACATTCATTATCCAATTCATCCTCTGATTCACCCTCAAGTTCATCAGTTTCACTTGTGTTCTCCATAGGTATATTATGATTATTTATTTTTTTAAGTGAATGTAAGGATTGTTGAATTAATTCTGAAAAAATTTCCTTATTTACTACTATGCCAAGACTGCTAAGTATAATTTTCATAGCATACGAAGTCTAAAATTTCAGTAACATACAATTAATAATAATAAATGATGGATAAATATAAGATAATAATGTAATATATACCTTTTCTATCATATTATCAATATCAAAAATTGATGGAAAATCCGTCAAATTTTTTGGCAATTTTTCTTTAACTGTGGATAATTTGATATTATAACCATCATTATTATCTGTTCTGATTAAATCACCTAAGATTATATATATAATTAATTTAATTATTTTTAAAATAACTAATAAGTTTTAGTTAAATTACTAATCTTTCATTTCAATCATAATATTTTTTAAAATTTTTTCATTCATTGATAAGAAATCTAGTACGGTAAAATCTTCAATAATCCGTCGTGCACAGCCAAATATATGCTCAAGAAAGGCAGTAGAAATCATCCACGGACATAAAGGATAATTTGAATAAAAATTTGGCCATTGTTGAATTAATAATATCAAGGTTAATCCCAGATAGATAAAATCATCGCATGATTGCTAAGATATTCCAAATTTATTTCCATTACACGTGGCTTGATTTGCTTTTAAAAAATGTTGTACTCCTGCAAAAAAAATGCATGCGCCCCAAGCAAATCCTACACGATCTATATGGGCCATGCTATGTGATTTCCATGATTCGAACAAAATTCCACAAAAAAAATGGTAACAAGCGTCACCATACATTTCGTCATCATTATTTTTCACAGAATAATCTGTAAAGCCTATGAATAATAAATAAATTATTAATTGTATTTTTTAACTAAAATTACTTCACATTTTACTTGCCTTTTAAAACAGATGATGAAAAAAATCTCTCAGCTGATTCATCTGCCTGCTTATCTTTAGGATTAAGAATATTACTTGTTAAACCTGAATAAATTTCAGAATTTTCTTTTAAAATCCACAAATGTTCAGTAGACATAATGTAATATCCAATTGGACACACTCTTGTTCCACTATTATGCATATTTCGTCCTTAATAATCAAATAAAAATTTATTTATATAAAATCAAATATAATTACAGCATATATTTACAATATTTTACCCTTTTTCACACAATGATAAATATCCGTTCCACAAATAAATGGTAATGAATTATCCATCAAATGTAAGGCTATAGGATATTTCATTTTACTGAATATAGAAGTATTCTAATAAAAAAAAGTCCATTTTAATTATTGCTATTTAAAATCTTTTATTAAAGATCTTACCTTTTTAAGTGCAAGTTCACTAGTAAAAGTTGGATCTTCGCTATAAACTTCACCTAACCAATTCCGATCAAGAGTAGCACCATCAAAATATAAACCAATTGTTATAGCTCCTGCACGATTTAATTCTCTCATAATTAAATTGTTATCATGTGTATTAATTTCTGCTTTTTCCGTTTGGTCTGACGGATTGACAGCAATCACAATTGGCGGTATTCCAGGAATACAAGCTGAAAGAGCATAAACTGTAATATATGTTGCTTTTTTAAAATTGCTAATTTTATTATGAAGTTCCTCTATTGTCATTGTTGTTGGAATTATAGTATCTTCAATAGGCACACATCCAATCCATTTTTGCCGCTGTTTACAAACTTCAATCAATTCTGCAACTTTTGTTTGATCTTTTGCTCATATTGTAGGACCAGCATAATCATATGCTTTACGCCACATTGTAATAATATCTGGAAAACTTGATGTATTTATTCCATATATATTATAATAAATATCTGATTCATTTCTTTTATGCCGTAAAAATCGAATTGTTGGTCCAGCCAAATTTGCTGTGAGCCAACGTGTTGCTAAAGTGCTAATAGACATAAGCACAACTAAAAAATCAATAAAACTTTCATGATACTCTCCAATTCCTCTCATAGAAGTTACACCACGTTGCAATTTATCAATAACTTTTGTTACAGCTTGTGCCATTCCAACAAATATAGGTCGATTTTCTTCCAATGTTTTGTCAATTAAAAAGGTTATACATTGGCTAACCCAATTCTCAAGCCCATGGGTCTCAACTGCTTCAATAATACGTCCAAGTGCTGGATATTTGTTAACTATTACATAATAGGAATGATCTGATACTTCTTTTTCAACATATGTGCATAATTGTTGTAATTCTGTTGATTTTGTATGTCCAGGTCGATGTTTAAGTGAAGTAATTATTGTTTCATGCAGCTTTTTGATATTGTATTGAGCCCAACTATCTCCAAATTGAGAAATAATACTTGCAGGTATTGGTTGACCTTCTTTCAGGATAAACAAACAATCAATTTGTGCAATAAGTTCTTGATAACGTCGATTCCTTTTTTGTACAGCATCCATTTGTGCTAAAATACCACATTTGGAACAATATTTGGATGTTGTATAACCTTCACATTCGTTGCTTTTGATATATCCATGTGCCTTAACATTTTTATCAAAAAGATTATCATCACGTAAAATTTTGTATTTATCTGTTGATGTTCCATATCGTGCTAATGCTGCAAATGATTTAGAATAAAAACCATGGCACACTAAAAATAGAGAATTTGGATAAGATTCTTTACTTTTATTCTTTGAACATTATTAAATAATTAAATAATTACCTTTTCCTGATGATTCTAAATGCATTCCTGTATTTAAAGTTTCTTTTCGTTTACTTTCAAAATTCAGAAAAGTGGTACGAAGTTTTTTGGAAGGATTTGATTCAGTATTTATTATGTTATCTTTATACATATTTGTTTCAAGATGCTGCCATAATCGATAGCCATCATTAATCCGATGTAAAGTAATAGGCGTTCCAGTATCACAATAATGACAATAAACTTGATTATTACTAAGTTTTTCTAATTTTGGATCTTTTAAGAATTCACCAAGTATCGGTATCTTTCGATTACTTTGAGTTTTAATTTGGGCTTTTGGTTTTATTGCCTGTTTAGCATTTATAAAGAGTGTAGAATTGTCTTTTTGTATCTTTCTCTCTGTGGAAGGACTATCATTTACTTTTACAGGAAAATTCAATTTTGTTTGTACATAAGCTTTACGTTTCACTGTTGCTGTTTTTTCTTCCATTTAAAACATTTAAAACAAAGAACGTTGAAAAAAAAAATTATAATTGCTAACCATAAAAATATTATATAACGTGTACATCATATGTATTACAAATCTATATTCAATTGTACATCATATACATCTATTCTTTATGTCATGTACTACGAATTGATCTTAGATTAATATAAACCGTACAACAAAAAATTTTTGATAATCATATTAAGTGTACTTCGAACGTCAAGCCACAATACCATCAAAAAAGGCAAATTGTGTAACTGTACGATGAACACACAAAAAAATCTAGCCTGAGTGTACGACAAGGTCATTATATATGTATTCAGGGGCCCTGTGGAAATGTGATTTTGACAATCACTTAATTGTAGCGTTGCTACCCAAAACTTATTTAACAATAAAATTCAAAAATCTGAAATTCAAAAACTTTATTTTTAATGAAAAAATTAGTAAATTCAAAACTTTTCTAAATTATAATTAGTTTCAGAAAAGCATAAAAACAGTTTTAGCAATTAAGTTTATTATAAAAAATAGTTTCAAATTAAATTTTGACTAAACTAAAATTTTGAAAAAATAGTTTTGGCAACCATTCTTACTATATATGAAGTCGAAATTAAAACCCAAAAGTAGAAATATTTCAACTTGGGAAGGTCAAAAGTTGAAATTAAAGTTGAAATGGTCAAAATTACATCATAGTCATATGATTTGTATAATTATAATTTAATATAAAATTTTAAACATAAATAACTCCGTCAATATTGATGCTACAGATATGAAATACATATCATTGGAATCCTCTCAATGAGCTGAATCCACCGCGTAAAGATCATAAAAATCGAATCACTGGATGCGGAGTTCGATAACTTTGAATTTTAAAATTATTGTTTACTATAAAAATTATAAGATTATTTAATACCAAATTTTAAACGTGAATAACTCCGTCAATATTAATGCTACAAATATGAAATACATATCATTGAAATCCTCTCAATGAGCTAAATCCAACCATGTAAAGATCATAAAAGTCGAATCACTGGATGCGGAGTTCGTTAACTTTGAATTTTAATATTATTGTTTACTATAAAATCATATGACTATGATGTAATTTCGACCATTTTGACTTTTGGAGGGGCTCAAGTCAAAATCATTTCAACCATTTCGACCATTTTGGAGGTCAAAATTAACCAATTTCAGTTTCATATATAATTCTTACCTGATTGAACTAAAATACAATAATTATATTAATATATATTGTCTAATTAAATTTATATAATTAAATAAAAAAAAAGTTTTTGAATATTCAAAAACAATTATTTCTAAAAAATGAAAAGAAATGTTTAATTAATAAAAAAATAAAAAAAGATAGTAAAGTTTCGCAACAAAACTTACTATTTTTAAATTTTAATGTTTCAAATTGATGATTTAAAATTTAAAAGTCCTGACCTATAAAAAATAAAAGAAACATTAGAAATGTTTCAAACTAAAAAAAATAAAGTTTTATATAAAACTCCAAATAGTTCCAGTTTGAACCAGAAACCAATCCGAAACTGACCAAAAATTCAGTTTGGTTTTCAGATTGATTTTAGAATTGGAACCGTTTGGTTCAGTTCAGTTCTATTTTATTTTAAGAAAAAATGTGAAAATTGGAATAACTCAGCAACCAGTAATAGTATAAAGATGAGCAATAGCTCATTAGAATAGTCTCATCGAGACGCATTGAATGGTAGTAAGATCATTTCTCTAGCTTCAATAGATCATGAGATATCAATGCTAAACAATTTTAAGAAACTAGCGCTAGAATTGTATCTATTGATCCTAGAGAAATGACCTTGGCATCATTCGATAGGTCTTAATAAGATGAATCTAATAAGCCTTTTTTCATTTTTTTATGATCACTACATAATGAGTTATCTTAATTTTTGCATTTTTTTAAATTTTTGAATGTCAAAAAATAAAAATTTTGATCTAAGATATAATCCATCATTCACTGATTGCATTGGAATAATCTTTAGCTCATTAGAACTGTCTCAATGAGATGAATTGAATGACGGTAAGATCATATCTCTAGCACTGATAAATCCCTTTCTAATGCTAATTTTCTAAAACTGCTTAGCATGATTTATCTCGTGATATACTGATGCTAAAGACATGATTTTACTGTCATTCAATTCGTCTCATTGAGACGATTCTAATGAGCCAAAGATCATTCCAATGCAATCAGTAGATGATGGGTTATATCTTAGATCAGAATTTTTATTTTTTGATATTCAAAAATTTAAAAAAAATGTGAAAATTAAGATAACTCGTTATGTAATGATCATAAAAAAATAAAAAAAGGCTCATTAGATTTGTTTCATTAAGATCTATCGAATGATGCCAAGGTTATTTCTTTAGGATTAATAGATATGATTCTAGCGCTAATTTCTTAAAAATTGTTTAGCATTGATTATCTCGTGATCTATTAGGGCTAGAAAAATTATTTTACTACATTTGATACGTCTTGATGAGACAATTCTAATGAGCTATTGCTTGTCTTTATATGATCACTAGTTGCCGAGTTATTCTAATTTTCACATTTTTTTAAACATCAGATAAAACTGAACTGAATTGGACAGTTCTGGTTAAGGTTGCTTGTCTAAACCTCTTCAAAATCCTACGATTAGTTTTGTCAAAATTTTACTATAGATTTATTATAGTTTTGGCAGAGTTTCAGCAGTTTCGGCATTTATAATAAGTTTTGGCAGTTTCACCATTCTCTAAAGTTTTGCCAGTTTTTTAATATAACTTTAATATAGTTTTGGCAGAATTTCACTTTTCGGCGAAATGCCATCTTGCCTAAACCTCTAGGTTTCAGCAAGCAACCTTAGTTCTGGTTTGATTTTCATTCAGTTTTGGTTCCTACTTGAGCCGAAAAAAAACTGCACTGAACCAACCCATTCAGAGCTTTAGTTTTATATTATGATTACTATATAAAACTTATGATCCAACTGATCTAATTATTCCAAGTGTCTGATTTGAAGTCTACAAAAATAAAAAAGAAACCATTAGTAATAATATTAAAAATTGTTGAAGTTTTGTAATATTTTATTGTAAAACTTACCCATCAATATTCTAAATTCAAAATATCCTGAAGCCTAATAAAAAAAAAAGATAATGGAAATGTCAGTAAACTTCCCCTAATTAAAAAAAAAATGGAAGTTTCATAACAAAAAAATGTTACAAAACCTACCATTTTCCAAATTTCTACATTCCTAATAACTGAACCTGCAAAATAGAAAGGAAATATTTAGTTAGAATGTTTCTTTAAAGAAAATACAAAAAAAAAACAGAAGTTTCATAATAAGTACAAAACTTACCATTTTCCAAATTTCAAAATTCCTAAAAGTTGGCCGAATCTACAAAAAAAAGAGAGAAATGTTCAGTTAGAACATTTCTTAAAGAATAAACAAAAAAAATGGAAGTTTCATAACAAAACATACAAAACTTATCATTTTCTGAATTTCAGATTTCATATCTATTTCTGAAAAATTAACTTTTTAATTATGCATCTTTTTACCTTTTTAAGCTCAAATTGATGATTTCTTTCCTAATATTCTTCCTGATTTTATTCCTGATAAAAACCTATTAAATTTCTTTGTCATTTTTTGGATATCATTTTCATTTTTCAGATTTGTTTTTAAATGTTGCTGTTGCTGTTTTTTTTCCAACAATCCTTCCAACAATTTTATAAACTATCCTCTTGACTTTAATGGTAATTACTAGAGTTTTGAATGGGTCAGGTCAGGTTAATTAATAAACTTGACCTGAAATTTTTTTTCAGGTCAGGTCAGATCAGGTTATATCAGATTATCTGTTTGACCTGACCTGAACTGAAACCTAAAATTTTCAGGATTTTTATTAAAATATCAAAAAAAAAATGTGCAAAACATTTTTTTTGAAAATATTGCGATTCACTTTTTTATATTAAAATCGTATAAAAAGGTGAATCGCAATACCGCAACTAACTTTTTTTATATAAAATCAATATAAAAAAGTGAATCCCGATACCGCAATTCACTTTTTATATATAAAAACAATATAAAAAAGTGAATTCCGATACCTCAATTCACTTTTTATATATAAAAACAATATAAAAAAGTGAATTCCGATACCGCAATTCACTTTTATATATAGAATTAACATAAAAAAGTGAATTCTGATATCGCAACTCACTTTTATTATATAAAATCAATATAAAAAAGTGAATCGCAATATCGCAACTCACTTTTATTATATAGTAGAATCAATAGTTTCAGGTCAACAGGTCAATCAGGTCAGGTCAATCTTCATACCTGACCTGAATTTTTTTTAAAAATCTCATACCTGACCTGAATTTCAGGTCAGGTCAGGTTAGGTTACCTGAATTTGGCTGACCTGTTCGGAGCTCTAGTTCAAAATCCCAATACAACCCTAAAAATGAAAAAAAATTATTATGTGCTCAAAATTATTTAAAATATATTTAGCTTACTTGTTTCATCACAATTAAAAACATTGTTTAAATCATAATTTTTAAGAATTTCACGCAATTTATTCCTCTTTTCGTCTAATGTTTTCAGAGGTGCACTGTTTGCTTCACCCCACTTAACATGCTCTTTTAAATTATACTGTTTTTTAAATTTATCCATCCACCCATTAGAAGCTGAAAACCTAGTAATTTCAAATTGCTATGCAAAGAATTTATCTTTTTCGCGCAAGATATCACCATTAATTACAAAATTTGCAGAAAGTGCATTTGTAATCCACAATGAAAGAGCCTCTTCAACTTGGGGAAAATGAACCTGCTTTTCTCTTTGTTTATTTGACTCTTCTGAATCTGGATTAATAAAAAGCCACTTATCTTTTTTTTTAAAAAATATTAGAAACAGTATTTTGTTTGATATTATATAAGTTGGCAAATTCTGTTTGGATAAGTCATAGTGCTTTTTGAGAATCTAAACAGAGTTGGTACTTCTGCACATGTGTTAAAACAACTCTTTTGTTTGGTTGAGAGGACTCTTTGGTGGATTTTCTTTTTTCTTGTTGAGACATGATACATGTTTTGTGTAAAACACAAACTATTCGATGGTTTTTTTATTAAAAACATTTTTAAGAATAAAACATTTGTCACATGTAGAAATTTGGGCATTTACATTATGTAAAATAGCTGATAATTTTAATGTAATATGTGGTATAACCTAATTATTATTACATTTTTATTATACACAATTATATAGGGACAAAGGTGAATATCGGTACACGTTACATCGTGAATCTTATATAATATCGGTACAGTGAAGTTTTTTTATTAAATATGAAATGGGACAGTGAAAATTTATCGATATAAGAAATTATCAGTATATAGGGTATCGGTACATTGAGGTTTGACTGTATTAGTTAAATGGATTTTTTTTGAAAATCAGTCTTATTTTTTCTGAATTATACTTTTCGTCAAAATGACAAAATACTAATTAAATTTATTTTGACAGATGTAATGTATTTTGTAAGGTTGCTTACCAGTATTTATTTTTATTTTATATTTATACAAATATCTGATAAATAGTATTTTTTTTAAAAAGTATTCACAATCTTTCAAATCTATAGAATTATTTTTAAACAATTTTCTCTTACTTTAGTAGAATTAAATAAAATTTGCTTTACTGTTTAATTTTCTATTTTATTGTGCATTGTATAAGAAGATTCTATATTTAAAACAAAATTTCCGATCAAATAACATTGGATGTATTAGATTCAAAGCAAATTTGAAGTGATATGTTCAGATGGTTTATTTCTTTTATTTTTTATTTTTATTTCTTTAAAAATTACAAAATGTCATGATATAGTAGGTCTTGTAGTATCCTTATATAAAAAGTAGGATATTATATATTAAAATAGAATATTCTAGATGCTATGTATTAATTAAGCATAATTAGCTACCTAACAGTGCACATATGAAATACCTGGGATATGACAAGTAGTTTGTCAGTTAATTATATTAGAATAGTTTTTATACTTGTAATTTTATCTTGTATGTATTTTATTTTAATAAACTGCAAAAAAAATAATTTAGTAATCTAAACATTGTGGTCACATATGCATGAATTAGTAATCTAAATGTTATAGTCATATACATATATAAACGTTACTTTCACATAAAAAACAATTATTATATTAGAGATTTTATTATTTTCTTTTAATGTAAATACTAATACAATATGAATAAATAAATATAAAAGAGTTATACATATTTATCCTAAAAGTGTAACTTATATTTTTTATTTTATCCTTTATTAATTTTATTGATTATAATTCTAAAAGCTGTAAATTTAGATAGCAAAATGTTTATGGATTTTTTAATAATAAAATTTTGAATTTAAATGTTTTTATATGATTTTTATTTTAAAATGGTCAAGTTAAATTGATTGATGACTTTAGATATGATAAATGAAAAAATATATTAAAACTAAATTATGCGATATAAGAATAATATTAAAATTTTTTTTTTTGTGGTAAATCAACTGCGGTGAAAATCGAGTTTTTTATCGAGTTATTAAATTGATTGATGCTCGTTTTTTCGCTTTAACTGAAAAAATAACAAAAATTAAAGATTTTTTCGCTTACTAAGTTACGCTATCTGAGAAATTATTGTGGTAAATATTTATTTTTGTTAACATTTTAACGGAATAAATTTTATATATTTAGCATTTATAAAACACCATACTCAATTAATTAAAATGTCATAAGATAATAAATTGAAATTTGAAATTTGAAAATTTAAAATTTGGACTTTTAAATTTAAATTTTAGCGATTTTAAAAAAAAGTTTGGATCCGAATTTGTTTCCATATTTGTTTCGGTATAAATGAGAGAAGAACCTTGCCACTGTTACTATGTTTGCTACCGTTGTTATTGTTTTTCTTCAAGCCTTTGTTGGGCTTGTTTCCGTTGTGTTTATGGCTTTGCCAATGACTACGATTCATCTTTTCAAATTATCTTGATATTTTTATTGTTACAATTTTGATTTTATTATTAATATGAACAACTGAAATGATAACGACATAATTAGGCAAACTGAAAAATAAATACTTTTTTTAAAGATTCTTTTGCACTACTTGGAATTGACAAAAAATAAACTACTATCATGTGAAAACGATATAAAATATGCATCATGCAATTTGCAAAAAAAATTTATTAAAAATCTAATTTACGAGTAATACAAAAAAAATTTATTAAAAATTAATTCACGAGTAATGCAAAAAAATTTATTAAAAATCTAATTCACGAGTAAAACACTAATAACTCAGCCTATTATCATCTAATACTTTGTTTAATTAAATGAAGAACATTGCATTGGTCAACCCATTTTTGACTTCTTCAATTGATCCCACACTGCTTCCTCCACTGCCTCTACTGAGATCTGATTTTTCATCACCGTCCCAACGAAAATAATGTTTAGCACGATTAGCGATCAGATGAGCATAATAAACTGCCGGAACTTGTGAAATTGAAAGTGTACACCTTTGAAAAATAAAATAAAATAATGTTATATATAGGTTTAAATGCTGAAAAATGAAATACTCAACAAACAAACCTAGCGGAAAGGTAACATAATCGATAAGTTAATGTTTGAATTCCATCTGCAGTGAAGTCATTTTCATCATGAAGAACATTATAATGTATTGGACGAGATGTTCCTTGTAGGCTGGAGTGAGATTGTAAGACTGAAAAAAATAAATAATTAATATAAAGTTTCTTAAAAAAAAAAAAATTTAATAAATTTCTCATTCTTACAAAAATCAAACTCTTGTTCAACGAGAATTGTCCTGTCAACCACTGTTCCCGGACGACAATTGCCCAATTTATCGCCTTCACGTGGTTCAGTTGGCATAAATCTGGTATGATGCCTCTTTTGCAATATAATACTATATATTTAAAGGGATTAGTAAATTTAGAAATTATAAAATAATAATGGTAACAACATGACTTCAAAGAACTTACAATGTTAGTGTAGGTCCCGAATTTCTGTACACACTAGCAAAGACTTCTTTAAGTACTTTTACTTCATAAGTTTTTACATGTTGAAATTGATTTTCACCAACTCCATCACGATAAAACAAAATTTTTCTCGGTAAAACTTGATTTCTTTGATAAAAAACACGAAGTAAATCGATTACTATTCCTTTGAGATCTTCAATAATTTCATTTCGAGGATCCCTATTAACACTAAATCTTCCAGCGTATTTAGTAGCTTTTGAATCCAATGAGGCACATACAGCTGCAATACTTGGTTTATTATCACCTCTTCCGGAATGGAAAACGTCAGCGCCGAATATCATTGTCGGTTCTGAAGATACAAACCCAATTTGATCGTTGGTTAATATTACGTTTTGTCCACCTAATTTTGCGTTCACTTTCAAAAAGATGTTTGAACAAATTTGATCGATTCCATTTTTTCTCGTTAATCGTTTGAGTAAAATACATTGAGTTGGAACACCCAATTGCGTGTCCCCAATCCTTTTAATTTCTCCATATATTGGACCCGTTGCTCCCAAAATACATATAATGATATGTGGAGGATAATTTTTGTTAAACAAAGATTTGTGACAAGCAATATTCAACGCCGTAGTAATTTCGCCTTGAGGATTCGCATACATGACGTAAGGATCATTCGGGATGTTCATTCCTTTTTGATTGGCAATTTCACGAAATCTTTTCATAAATGATTTCACCAATTGTTGAGGAGCTGAACGTTCTTGATCAAAAACAACCACAGCCCAGTTTACCAATTCAGCGCCCTAAATTATAATAAAATAAATTTATAATTAAGAATAAATTTTGACGAGCAGAAATTACAATATTAGAAACCATTACAATATAATGACCTGGCAAACGACTTTATTCACAATATTCCAACGTCCATTTTCAGGGATGAACTCTGATTGGCGGTTTTTTTCATTAAAAGTTAAACGAGGAGGATTGAGTACACGTCCTAAATTTTGAAAAGATTAATATTAAATGAATAAAAAAAAAAAAAATTTTTTTTAAATTCTATTAAAATTTATAGATACCGTTAAGAACCACCATGTTTTTGCAATCGACTTCCATACCAATTGACTCAAGATGTGGATCTCTATCATGTTGGAAGACGTCTGATACAGCATTCAAAATTCGTTGAAACCTTTCTTGTGGCTTTACACACGTATGTTTAATCATGTCAGAAAGAGTAATGTCTGGCAATGGTCCTTCGAAACGTTGGCCTGTATTATTATATTTAATTAAATTTAAAAATTAATAAAATTTTTTTAAAAAAATAAAGTTGTATACATTAGATAACTTACCAGGCAAGACGTAACAAACCTCAATGGGCAAGTAAATACCTCGATTAACGAGGATGCATGGTAAATTTGGAAATTTTAATGTAATTTCGTATTTAGTAAGAAAGTATTCAGAAATGGACATATCACTATTCTTCTCATCATTATAGAACTTAAGGTTATCTGCCGATTCTTTTGTAATGCGTTTGATTTTGTACACGGGTTTTCGATTGTGATGATGTAAAGTTTCAACATTTAAATTTTTTAAGTACTAAAGAATAAAAATCGTATTAATAAATAAAATATTTAAAAAAATTAATTTAACAATAAAACAATAAATATTATTTATTCACCTTTGATAGAAGGATTATTTCACTATTACTTAATCCACGAAAACGTAGTTCTTCTGTACTACGTTTCGATAAAATTTTGCCAATTACCTTAAATCATTATTAAAAATAATTATGATAAATAAAAAAGCAACGAAAAACAAAATAATAATAATATTATTAATAATAATTTTTATACCTCTGGTAAAGAACCGGAAGGATAGAAAACTGCTGCGCAAATATCAATATTGATAAACAACTGATCTGTGTGTAATTCAATAATAATTTTATTAATAAATAAAAGAAGTCAAATTATTGTAAAAAAGAAAAAAAAAAAACCTCAAATTTACCACATCCAGGACGTAATGATTGATAAAATCCTTGTTTTAATTCGACACCGCTTGATAAGATAATGGGTATATTTTTGGGGCTAGGTGGATAAATCCCTTTACCCGATGAAAGATACTTCTGCCGAACATTAAAATTGATATACGCGTTCAATGCCGCCAAACACGTGATAACCATACTTGTTATTGGTCCTTGGCTTGAAATATAATTTCTAAGCCGATCAAGGCTTAAAGTTTCTATGAATTTGACGGTGGCTTCGTACGATCCTTTTTTAATGGTCTTATCGCCATTACTTCCTATAACAACCTAAATTAATTTGGGAGTTTTATTAATTCAATAAGTTTTAACGTGGCTTGGTTTTTTTTTTTACAAACCTTGAATTTGTTCCCTTTTCGTTCATTTGCCAATGGTAAAGGAGTAGAAGAGTAAATCGAGGAATTTCCATCAAATGCCGCGAAAAATTTTCCGAAATTGTTTTTATTGGCGACTTCATAATAAATCTTATTAATCGTTTGTTTGTTAATCTTCGGAGCAACATCAAAACTATAGTGATATAAAGAAATATTTGGAAACTAACGAAAATCACATGTTAGTAAATGATCATCAAAATTGTAGATATTTTCTTTTTTTGACTTACTTGAACGACTTTAAGATAATTTGTTTTAAGTTTGATAGGTCTGCCTTCTTTCCCATAACCAGGTCTTTGAGCCATCTTATTATCCAATTCATATAAGTTCATATTTCTTAATCTTTCTTCTATTTCCACTATTAAAAAATAGAAATAAATATTTTAATTATGAAAAAATATGTATATGTTTTTTTATATAATTATTGATTAATTACTTTTTTTTTTTTTTTTTTTTTTCAAAAAAAAAAAATAATAGCAAAAAGGAGAATAAGGGTAATGAAAATTAAAATACATTAATACATGAAAATAATACAAGAATTCATAGCTCAAATAACAAATAAATGAACAAGATATATAATACAAAAGTATGAAAAAGTTCATATTAAAAATATTCCAAGACTCGTACATTATATTATTATTATTATTATTATTATTATTATTATTATTATTATTATGATTTATGAATTAACTTCAACTTCAACATCTTGAATATCCTCCATGGGATATTTTTTAGGAGGCGGTAATAAAGGGGGAGGTGGTATTATAGGAAAAGTTGAAGCATTAGTATAATTTGACTCTATAGTTTTAATGGAAGATATTGATGTGGATGTTTTGTGTCTAAATATTTCAATTTGTTGCTTCTGTTCTTCCAATAAACTATTTATAGATTTTTCGACACTTTTATTATATATTGACGAATTTGCTATTGATTTTGTCGGTGATGACGGTTGAGCAAAAGTAGCAGTCGTCGGTGTATTTAAATTAATTATATAGGAATTTGAACGACTATAAGCTAATTTATCGGTTGGAGTACTAGGTTCTCCTGAAACATGACGACCATTTATTAAAGTTTGACCATTCACGGTTGTTGGAGTTGAACTAACCAAAACAGCACCTGATGTTCCAGTTATATAATATCTAGGATAAATGATTAAAATCATTGTAACCCATAATATTAAACTTCCAAAATTTACATGTATAATAAACATATCCAATAAAAGTTTTGATGTAACTGAATGATTTCCATAAAGTGAAATAAAAATACTTGATAATATTCCAATACTTATAAATAAAGCTCCAACCATCAAAGATTCATTCATTTCAATAAAATAATGAATTCGAAGGATCGTTTCTTGACCTGATGGAGATCTAGTGTGTTGTATTGATTTTAATAAACCATTCAACCTTTTTCCATTTTTTATTCCAAGCAAAAAGATTATAAACATTTGAGTAGCATAAATAGATTGAGGAATGGTCTCAATGAGAATTTCATTTTTAGTAGTAAGAGCTCTCGCCAATGGGAAGATAAACATAGAAGCAAAAACCCAACCGACATAAAATCTGAATTTCCAAGTTCGCATAAAAGGTTTACCACCCATTTGACTGGACAAATGACTCCAGAATGCTTGCATAAGGGCCAAAGTTCCAATTTGAAAAGCAAAACAAAAGGCTAACAAATATTCTGTGAATGTTTTTAATAATAAATTTTCTTTCGACCAATGGAGGCCATTATCATCATAAATTGGCTTTGTATATATTTTGTTATTTGAAGTATCAGTAATAAAACCTTCATTATATTTTATATATGTCCATGCAATATCAAATATCTAAAAAGAAATAATAATTAAAAATTATTCATATATCATAATACGTTAAAAGTTTAAAAACTTACGGCTTGAACAGGCAACATCAAAAAAATCAACAACGTAATTATTGATTTTAAATCGAAATTACATATTTTGCTCCATTGTAAACTAGCAAATCTATCGGTTGACCATACCCGATAGATAAACCATAACCAGATCCATACATCAATTATTACTCTCTCTAAAAATGAAACGGAAAGATCTTTGTGAACTCTCTTAAAAAAATTTTATAATTAGAAATAAAAAGTATATAATATTTACCAGCAAATGAAAAATCACTAGAAACCAACCCCATTCCTATTTTCCGTATTTAATAGTACCTTTTACTTTTATTTAAATACGTATCGTTAATTTTAATTTCTTTAGTAAGACATCAAATCATGAATTTGTTTTTAAATTTTGAAGTTCGAATAAAAATTTTCATTAAAAAAAAAATCCGTATGGGACCTTTATATATTCGTTCAAAACGGTTAAAGGAAAAAGAAAGAAATAATAAATTAAATTAATTAATTGTTAATTAAAGATAATTGATTAGAAAACGGATTTTTATCATTAAAACATTAAAAGAGAAAAAGAGAGTAAACAAACAGTAATCCACAACATAACATTAAAAAGGATTTTAAAAATATGGGGGAAAAAAAAAATAAAAAAGTATCCTTACCTTTTTAGCTTTTTTATTATAATACTGTAGATCATAATCATATGTTTAAATAATCGGCGTATTTGTAAAGTATAAATATGCAGTATAACATTAGTTGCATTATTTATTTATAACTATAAACATATGATCTCATTCTCCGATCAATCCGAATTCTTGAAATTATTACAATCGGCATTTCGTCCGATATACTTTAATCATTTTCATTTCATTCCCATGAAATTTAATATTTTATATATATGTCATATCCGAATTTCCGATCGGAAAGTACCAAAGATGGAAAAGAATTCGATCAAAATTGATATGAAGCGGAAATTTAGGATATGAAGTTATATGCATAAAGTACAATTTATTTTTTTTAAAAAATATCATATAATCATAAAAAGTTTATTTTTATAATTTTCTTCCGGAAATAGTTCAAGATCATAATTTATATCGTGTTACATTAATACATTAATTACTTGACCATAAATGAAAATATGATAATCCCGTATTCCCAATACTTGATCCCAAAAAAAATTAACTTGATGAGCATGACTAACCTTTTTTTAGTAATTTGTTTATAAATAGTAACTATTTCGGTTTTTTTTCAATGTTATGTTAGGGTTATCATATGTTTAAACCGGAAATAATCTCGAAATTATCAAATTTTTACCTTAGAATTAAAATAATAAATAAAAATTTCCCCAACCCCAAGTTTAAAGTGACAAATCGTCGATTACAAAATTGATTAGAAAAACAAAAAAAACTTGTAAATTATTTATAAAATTTTTAATATGCGATATCATACATGCTTGATTTTAGTAAGAATTCAGGTTTTTATTATTTAGCTTAATTGACTAAATTTGATAAATAATGGATAAATATATAATTAAGATTTAATATAATTAAACTTATATGATGTGCAAGGTATATATATATATCATTGCAATTTGCAAGAAAGGATTAATCGTCGTAAGAAAGGATTAATCATTTAAAGAAAGGCTTAATCGTCGTAAGAAAGGATTAATCATTTAAAGAAAGGCTTAATCGTCGCAAAGAAAGAAATTGATCATTCAATCATTGCATGAAAGGCATAATCGTCGCGTGAATGGCCAATCATAAAATGAATGGAAACATGCGTATTTATAACTTTATTTTTATATACGTTTTTTATCCATTATAAACATGTGATGATTTAATGAAACTCATACTAGAATTTCACTAAAGAGCTTTATTTAATTACATGCTATGTTTAAATCTACGTCTATATATAGTAATTAATCATCTACTTTATCATACTGGATCATAAGGTATTAACTTATTAACACGTGATCCTATATGCTATGAGAAATGCACAAGCGATGGTCAATAAAGGACTCGATATTGTCAAACTCAGATATAATAATATATTGGGATTTGGGATTCATATGAAATTATTGAAAAATATCGTTATATCAAATTATAACAAATTGAAAATTCTGAAATTGATAAATGCTAGTCCATTTGTTAAATTGGAATGGGATAATATAAAAGATTTAACTTTACCTTTCTTACATACCTTAATTGCTTGTGACATACCAATTAATTATTCTAAATACCGATATTTATATGTTCTCTCATATAGTGGGAAAGTGAAATTTTATCGTTATATAGAGTTTTTAATATATATCGGTATATCGAATGAGGTTTGACTGTACATGGTTTATTTTAATCTCATTTGGATGTACGATTTACTATCTCATGTATGAGATACTCCACTACTGAAGGGTTTCACTACTGAAGGTTTTGTGGTTTTTGTGGTTTTTGTGTAGCATTTACTGCAAGTAATCTAATGAAATGCTGATCATTTGCGATATTTCTTACTGTATGTATATTATGCAATTTTTTAAATATAAAATGTTTTTTTTCATGATAATGTTACGAAATGATAATTATTATCTATAAAGACTTTATTATATCGTTTATATCAGATTGAGTGAAACATCATATAAAAATTTTGGGTCAAATATAATATTCTTTTTTTATAGATAATTTTCTTCTATTAAAGTTAACAGTTGTGGGATGGGAGAATAGAGGTATCAGTCGCTCATCCAATAAAATAAGTTTTCATAATGTTGAGTGAAACATTACGTAAAAATTTCGAGTCAAATTAGTTAACAGTTATTGGATGGGGAATAGAGATGTCAGTCGAAGATCGTTATCCCGATACATTTCATCCTATGGAGTGAGTTTTCGGGTGTTTTGGTGGAACATTACGTAAAAAATCCGAGTAATTAATTTAATAATATTGGATGGGAGATCTGTCGTATAAAGTTCGAATAATTATTAATAGTATTGAATGGAGAATCAGTCGAAGACCGACCTCATTCAATAAAATAAGTTTTCGTGAAACATTAAATAAAAAATTCGGGTAGTTATTGGGTGGAGAATGGTTGAAGGCCGATACCTTATGGTTTCGTGGGTGTTGAGTGGAATATTACGTATAGTATGGGATGGGGATCTGTCGTAAAGAGTTCGAATTAGTATTGGATGAGATCTGTCGTAAAGAGTTCGAATGGGGTTCTGTCGTAAAGAGTTTGAATTATTATTGGAAGGGATCTGTCGTAAAGAATTCGAATTAGTATTGGATGAGATCTGTCGTAAAGAGTTCGAATAATTAATTAATGGGAGACCGATCATTCAATAAAATAAGTTTTCATAATGTTAAGTGAAACATTACGTAAAAAGTTCGAGCAATCGATTAATAGTCATGAATGGTGAATAGTCGATGGAGTGGGTTTTCGGGGTATTTGGTGGAAGGTTACGTAAATAGTCAAGAGTGGAAGTCAGATATCCCTAATCCCTCATACCTCATTCAATAAAATAAGTTTTCAAAATGTTGGGTGAAACATTACGTAAAAAATTCGGACCGATATCCTTATTCCTTCATACAAATTTTTAATAGAGTACAAGAACTAGAACGTACAAGAACAAGTATTATATAATGCATATTACTTAGTCACAATCTTGGTTTAGACTACTTTAGTACTAGGATTTAGATGATTTTTATTACGGTTCCATGTACCTTTTACAGATTATCTCTTTTAGATCGTGGTAAAAATTATAAAGTGGCCAAGTTGCCAAGTTCTAAATTTTGATTAACCATAAGAGGATTAATATTTATAACATAGTTTATATTTCCGTTTGGATATTTTGTATTTCCGTTAAAATCAAATGTATCGGATTGAAAGATTTCTTATAGCAAAATAAAATTTTAACGTATAATAAGTATAATACGTATAATAAGTATAATAATTAAAATAATATCTATATCATATCACTATATTTTTCGGAATGCAATAAGAAGGTTTTTTTGATCGGCAGAACCTTTTTTTTTATTGTTACAAAATTGTAAGAGGTCTTTATGATCGGCAGAACCTTTTTTTTTTGTAACAAATTCTTGTTACAACATGGTCGATCACCAAAGTAAAAAGAAATTAGGATAAATTTATACGCGATTAATAATTTGTAATATGATTAGTATTATAATATTATGGTCCTACAGAAAATAATAATAATTAAATCGGAAAATTGTTTTTTTTAAAAATCTTAGAATAAATCATAGAAATAATAATATTTTCATTTATATAAAGACTTTTTTTTTTTTTGATTAATAATATATATGTTTATTATCGGTTGAAAGCGAAGAAAAATAGTAAAAGACTAATAAGATTAAATAATATTGTAATCAAAAAAAAAAAAAAATTTGTCATATATTTATCGAACGATATTCAAAAAAAAAAAAAATTATATATTGTGTAATATAAAGATATTGTGGATATAAAAAAAATCAATTTTTTTGATTTCAATGCTCAATGCTCTTTTTTCTTTTTTTTTTTTATTTTCTTTTTTTTTGAAATTTTTTTTTTTTAAAAAAATGATATTTTTTGTGAAAGGAATTTCCAACGTGACTGCGCCACGCATAAGTCACGTGTATAATTAATTTATACTGTCTTTCAGAACGCATTTAAATATTCTCTTAAAAAAAACAAACCAAAACAATCTTTTTATTATTAAAAAGAATTATTTAATTCAGGAATTACTTTATTGCGATATACATGTAATTATGTAGAATAAATGAAAATAAATGAGAAAATTATATAAACCAAAATAAAATATAAATAAAAAAATATATTTTTTTTGAGCGAAACCTTTTTTCTTTTTATGATAAATTATTAAATTCATTCATGACGTAAATAAATATTTTCACGTTTACCATTTAAAATTCTTTATTCGTTAATTATTGCATGAATTAAGAAATTTTGATTGGTTGTTTAATTAATAAATTTCATTGGTTACATTACAATCGAACAATCAAAAGTATTGTATTATGCACAACAAAAGCTTTCTTCAAATGAATTTAATATATTCTTCTTGGGAAAAAAAATAAAAAATAAAAAAAAAAATAAAAAAATTCTCATCAACCCAAAAACTCAAAATTTTTTCATTACCAAAAACCGAAATAATTATAGTTAAAACCGAAATAACTATAGTTTCAACTTTATTTGGTTAATCGAACAAAAGAATTTTCGAAAAAAACCTTAAAATATTTTTGATTAAAACTTTAAAACTAAAATTAGATTATTTTATTTTAGGAAAAAGGGAAAAAAAAAAAATAAAGTATCATTGATTATTTTGATTGATTTTCAAAAGATTTTCGAAAGTAAGAAAATTCTAAAAAAAATTAAATAAAGAACCTAAAAAAATGTAAAAACCTACTTTAAAACTTGAATATCGGAATTAAATACGTAAAATTTCGGAACTTTAAATATTAAAACGGCGTATTTGTTTTGATATTGTGACTTTTTTTTTAAAAAAAAAAAAAAAAAAAATTTTGTTTTATATATGAAAGTAAATATGGAAATATT